TTTGTTGTTATTCTTTATTGATTAATGATTATTTAATTTTATTTTGGTGTAAATATACTCCAAACCTTTTCTAATGCCATAGCTTCTAGATAGCCTGATCAATGGCATTGCTTGCATTGGTGTCAATATTCCCATTATTTTTTTGTTTCTAGTTTTTTCACTTAGACTTAGTGAATCTCCCTGGCCTCCAGTCTTTTCATCTGTGGTCTAAAATAGCCATTGACTTTTTAATCTTACCTATATTGTACATACACACACACACTCTCTCTCTCCTTACTCTTCATCAGTCAGAACAAGGCCACGACCCAACTGCGTCATAGAACAACTGCCCATATTTAGTTCGGTCCAAGTAGAAACTGTAAAAAAAATAAGCCCATGAAAGCCAAAAGTGTACGTTGAGTATACTCACTGCTGTCTAGTTGATTCTGACTCATAACAACTCTATAGGACAGGGTGGGACTGTCCTGTGATTTTCTGAGACTAGAAAGCCTCATGTTTCTCTTGGAGCAACTGGTAGTTTCAAACTGCTGGCTTTATTTACAGTTAGCATTCCAGTGCAAAACCCACTGTGCCATGTGTGCTCCTTGATCTTCAGTATTCATGCCATTGAGTTGATGCCAACCCATAGTGATCCTGTCCTGTAGGTTTCCAAGACCATAACTCTTTCTGAGAATAGAAAGTCCTGTCTTTTTCCCAGGGGGTACATGGTGGGTTTGAACTGCTGACCTTGCAGATCACAGCCCATAGGTCATCCACTAGGCCACCTTGGCACCTGTTCTAATCTTGAGTACATCTTCCTTAATTAGAGACCATCTTAAAATACATTTGACACACTTAAGAATACATTAATGACAAAATGATAAGTTGTGGGGTGCAATCAAGGATAATCAGGCATGAAGAAATTAAAAGTCATTATAAGAGGTTAAAAAAAAGAGCAAAATGGATGTTAAAAGAGGTTGTGTTAAGTAGTTTTTGAATGTAGAGAGGCTGAAGCTACTGGAAGAAGAGATGATGTAAAAAATCCAATCAGAAAATGTCGAATATAGTTTGAGAAGATAATAATGTCATGTATAAAGACCTGGAGTTAGAAAGCCATAATGGAATAACATACTCAACATTTCTCAAGCTGAAAGAACTGAAGAACAATTCAAGCCATGGGTGGGTTGTAATATTGAAGGATTCAGTGAGCAAGTATTGAATAATGTTTTCTGTACTTACTAGCATCAAGTTGATTCCAACTCACAGTGACCCTCTAGGACAGAGTAGGACTGCCCCCTTTTAATTTCTGAGGTTTATATTTTTTACTGGACTAGACAGCAATATCTTTCTCTTGGAGAGTAGCTGCGACATTTGACCAACTAACGTGATTAGCAGCTCAGTGTGTAGCCCACTGTGTTACCAGAACTCCTCTGAATTATGTAGGAAACATTCAAAGGAATGCACAGAATTGGCTGACATTCAACCAGTTCATAGTAACTTACATTCACTGAAAATATCAAAATGTGAAACTGTTGTTTCTCAGCTTCTCCATACGTTCTCTCTATACTTTTAAAGATTGTGTTTTCATTTTTTCTAACCCATCCCCAAAGATTTACTCCATGTTCAAACAGTTTTATTATTGAGGGAGTCAATTCTTTTCAGGGTTCTTTGAGCTTGAGCAACAAAGAGAATTCTGAAGAGGCCAGATCAGGGAAGCGTAGGGTAGATGGGTAAGGCTTCTAGTGAATTTCTCATAGGACAGTATTGCTCCTCTTCAACAATGTGATGGAAATAAATCCTTGACACAGCACCCCTGGCCTTTTCCTCACCAATACAATTTTCAGTTTTCTTTAAAACTTCTTTAGTTTCTGTGATTGTCTTGTGTACTTTGATATGATTGTTAATCTTATCCCTTTGGGATCCTCCCCAAAATTCACCTTGAATTTAACTGGTCCAGCAGATTCCTTTGGAAGTCACTGTTTTGATTGAACCTTTGCTCTCTGTTTATTAAGATTTATCTCTATTTATGATTCATTCTATAAAATTGTTAGCTTCCCTTTTGTTTAAAAGACTGGTGAAAAGATCAGTTCTTTGAGCTAGTTGATCTTCGCACAACACTTAGCTGCACCCATTACCAAAAAACTTGCTGGTATTTGCTTAACATTGAAAATGCTGAACCATGTGAAATACCAACTTCCGCAGCTTATCTTAGCAATGCTAATTCTACAGTCTTCCTCTAACAGTTTCTGGGTTTCTGCCACAGTTTCATCAAGTTGAAGGTCTTTCTTATTTTGGCTCATCTTTGAGATCTTCACTAAAACGCTTGATCCATCTGAAAACTATTGTTTTATGTGGAGCAGCATTCCTGTCAACTTGTTGCAAAATTTCAATGATTTGGAAAAATCCACTTGAGTTTTGTTAAAAATTTTATATTAGCTCTGACTTCAGTCATTTTTTCCTTTGGCATACAGTTTATTTTTTTATTTTAATGGCTTCCGAACAAGACTAAGTATATTACTGAGAGAGCTTGTCTCGAACTATCCAGTGATCACAGATATGTTTTACACAAGCTTTCCTTGGAATAAATCCATTCATGTATGAACACAGTAGTATTTTTACTTTTTGACTTAGCCTCATATATGTAAGAGGTACTTTATTATGCTTTTAAGGCCTTTATTTTGTGTCTTAAGCACTTAATTTGTCTTATGCTGAAACTAGTATGCTAAGGTTTATTAGTGTTTGTATCTACGGGCCCTTGCATATTCTGTAGCATTTGCTTTCTGTAAAATGCTAGTTGTGTTTTTGATACTTAGATTTTTGATAATATGGGATAATAGATTGGACAAGTTGAAAGGAAACATGTTTTTTAAGCTCAAGAAATGGAACTTCATCCTGTAGGTGTTGGGCAGCCTCTCTGTCTTACTCCCATATAACCTAGAAAAGTGTCTGGTGTGCTAGCTGGGCATTGAGGACAGAGTGGTGGGTGTTAAAGCAGACCTAGTTTTTGCCCACAGCCCAATGAGGGAAGGAGGCATCAATCTTGAGAAGACTTACATTGGAAAGGTGTATGGTGGTTCTCAGGGAACTGATAAAAGGGCATTTTTGACTTAGGATGGCCAGAGAAAGCTTTATTGAAGAAAAAAATGAGACATTTAAAAATGTGAACTTAAAGGTGTTATAATCTAGAAGTGAGGGTGAGCTGGGTAGGGGTGGGGATGGATTTGACATTTTCTTAGTTTAAAAACCTTTTGAAGACTATATTTTTGTTTTGCTTTTGAGGCTTTATCAAAACATTAGATGAGAAGCTTGAATGTATGTGTTTTAAAAGATTTTGACAAGGACCAACAGTAAATAAATACATTTTGCACACTGAAATAAATGTTTCATAAAATAATACTATATAGAGTATCTTCTGACACCTTTCAGTGTATTTTTAAAATTTTTTGCTGCCTACATCCTATTAGTGGATGTTTGGAAAACAGAAATTAGGTGCTCCATAAGGCTACCACCACCATGTCATTTTATCTTTGTATAATGATTACTAATATTTGTAATTTTTATCTTCACTATTAATGAGTTGTATTTTTTATCTAGGACCCCAGGTGGCATAATTATTAAATGATTTGCTGCTAATGGAAAGGTTAGATGTTTGAACCCACCTGGGAGATAGATTTGGCATTCTACTTTGTGAAGAATTATGCCTTAGAAAACCTGTGTGTGTTCTAATTTGCTCTATAGCAGTGGTTCTCAACCTTCCTAATGCCGCGCTCCTTTAATACAGTTCCTCCTGTTGTAGTGACCCCTCAACCATAAAATTATTTTCATAGCTACTTCATAACTGATTTTGCTACTGTTATAAATCGGGCGGACTCCTGTGAAAGGGTCATTCGACCCCCAGAGGGGTTGTGACCCACAGATTGAGAACCACTGATCTATAGCGTTGTTGGTAGTATAAATTGGATGGACAGAAGTGGGTTTACTTTGGTTGGCATTTTCCTTTTTTATGTTGACTACTAGGTAATGTAGTGCCTACACTAGGGATATAGAAGCAAACAAAACAAGCAAAATCCTTGAAACTCTTGGAATGTAAATTATGTCTATGGGAAAGAGTCGATAAACAACAGTGTCATGTGGTACTAAGTCGTATAGAGAAAAATCAAGTTAAGAAAAAGGATAAAATGCTGGATCGTGGATCTCTTTTAGATAAAGGAAGTAACAGAAGCCTCTGATAAGCTAAGACTTGAAGATTTTTTAGAAGCAATACATTTGAATATTTACCAATATTCAATGAGAAGTAGGATGATTAGAGTGATAGGTGGGAGGGGAGAAATGTAAGAGGTATAGGGCCTTAGAGGTTTTTGTGTGATTTAAATTTTTACTCTGATTTTCAGATTCACAAGGAAAGTGACATGACCTAATTTACCTTCTAAAACGTAAAGTTGCTTTGTTGGGTAAAATCTATAGTTGAATAAGTGGGAAAGAAGTAGGGGAAATATTTAGATGATTTGTGATTAGAACCTGATGTGTTTTATGGGAAATTTTTGGTTTTACCTTTTGTTTAGAAATAATTTCTGCCATGATAATGTAATCTGTTGAACACATTTATTATTCAAAATTTTGCAGTACTTAAGTTTCAGCTATATAAATGTGGAAGATCCTTAAGATCTGTGATACAAGTTCTTCTGTGGTTTGCATATTTGTAAGTGGTAATAAACATCCGAGTTAATTTAGAAAATGAGACTTGAATTTTTAAATTGAGATTTTAAATTCTGGTCTGTGAATGTGTATATAATAATTTCTTTTAAAATTCTGTTAATATAATCATTATGGGTTGTCAGTAAAAACAGAAGTATTAAAGAGAGAAAAAAAAGAATGTTTTCTAGGTCCCTATTGCAGAACTATGTATGATCCATACTTTAATTCAAGCATTTTGCAATTATTTAACACAGTAACTTTGAAATAGAATTAGCCATTGAATTAATACTGTTACAACTTAACGTTGTCTACTTTACTTCTTTCAGGAACATCATTTACAGCGAGCTATTTCAGCACAGCAAGTGTTTAGAGAAAAAAAAGAAAGCATGGTCATTCCAGTTCCTGAGGCAGAGAGCAACGTCAACTATTACAATCGTTTGTACAAAGGAGAGTTTAAGCAGCCAAAGCAGTTCATTCATATTCAGCGTAAGTTTGTTAATTGTTTTTTGTCATTTAAATTTATCAAACAGTTGAAATCTTTTCTTCTGCCTAAAGATTTTAACTTTTTGATTCATATACAGATAGAAATGTAAAACATTAAAAAAATGAAATTCCTCTGTGGGGAGCTTGCAGAATATTGCCCTTTGAGTATTTCAAATACTAGTGATGTTTGAAACATTTGGTGATTATGTAGTATTGGATTTTGTATTGCACTTATGCTTTATCATCCAGCTATGAGCTTGTGTATTCCTGTACCCAAATAAGATTTTAAAGGTGCACTTACTTAGTGGTTGTAATGTCCATGAGTTAAGTTTTGTGAAATTATTAATAATCGGATTTTGAACCTCTACCATCTAAATTTTATACGAATTCTGCTACCTCAATGTCTTTTTCTGTATCCCATTGTTACTATTTTAGATTGTCACTATTTCTTAGCTAAATGAACAATGTATTTACTGGGCCCTCATCCCTCCTTGCTGTCTTTACTCCCTTCTGTCCTCTCTCCACAAAGTCCAGCAGCACTGAGTGGTCCTAACTTGTCGTTCTGATCAAATTATTCTTTAGCTTAAACTCCTGTTAATTTTCATTGTCTACGAGTTTTCAGCTGATTTTGCAGGCAAGTGCTAATAACTTGGTAACGTATCTGATTGTACCAAAAACAGTTCTCCAAGTAATTTTGAATCTCCACCAGATCTGAGACTGACTTGTAAGATCTATTATTTTTATTGTTTGAAAGCACACATTTTTCCATCTTTGAAATATGATTGTGCCTGAAAATTACTGTTGTCCTGCATTGAAGCCCGGTTCTCTAGAGGATTTGCATTTGTTTCTGCCAGGCAGATTTGGGACTACCACCAGCCTGAGACCACCTAAAAGCCTTTACTTATTTTGTTTTGGGACCACGCTGTTACCTTTAATTTAGGTTGCACAACTGCTTGTGACTGTTCTTAAAAGGAGATTTTTTTTCTCTCTCACTCTGTATGGATGATTTTTTGTCTCTCACTGAGAATATTGCCTTTTGATAGTGTAGTTTTATGCAAGGGTATTCTATTTTAAAAGGCTCCATTATTAAATTTTTTTGGACAGTGTGCCTGAAATAATGGTGCACCCAATATGAAACAATTGGCAGTTTAGATAGAATTCACTAACAACTCAATTCTGTAGTAGTATTAATAAAGCCTTTGATTGGTTTTGCCTACTCCTCTATCCTCATTGCCCTTGGCTCTTCTCCCTCTGTGCCATAAAGACTACTTAAAAGTACCCATCTCTGCCTTGTTTCACATTTCACTTAACTGCATGTATAGTCCAACCTTCTTTTCCTTTAAGATCTAACTCCTTCATGAAGCCTACTGACTTTTCTCAGCTCACTCTTTTTTTTTTACAGCAAGATCTTGTATTTACCCTTATTAGAGGATTTGCCATACTTTACTGAAATTATTTGTAAACTTTTTTCCTTTTAGATTGTGAGCTCCTTGAGGGCAGGGACTGTACTATTTTTATTTTAAAGGTAAAGTGCTTGATCTACAGTTGCTCAATAAATGCATGTTTGTTGACTGGATTATTTTTAAATGGCTTTTTTGAAAACTCTTAGGTGTTAGAATCTCTTTCAGCAATTCATATCTAAAGAATTCAAGAGAAACACAACTATTCGATTTGTTTCCTTTGTGTCTTTGACTTTGTGTGGCCCTATAGCTTGTTGAATTTCCCATTTGGATCAGTTAAGAAGGAGACCATTGTTGATAATAGGAATTTTAACGATTCCTCTTTAGCCAAGTTATCATCTTTTCATAGATCTTACTGTACGTGGACAGCAGGACCAGCTATAAAAACCATCTTGGGAAGCCAAAAATCAGAGTCTGTGTTTTGGGATCAGGCCTACTATATACAATAAACATCTTTTATTGGCCTTTTGGTTTCACTTTATTATCAAAAATGGAATAAAAATAGAAAACTATTTTAACTTTTTTCTTTTATCAACATATGTCATATATACACTCTACAGTACCATACAGCACATGGCTTTAAAAAAAGATTCTGCCTTAAGTTTCTCAGGTCTCTTATTTTGAATGTTTTTGTAACTTTCTTTCAAGTTGATGCTCCATGTTTTTCATATCTATATGCCTTAATTGGGCTTGAGGTTATCTAGTAAATTTTTTTTAACTCATTAGATTTTCCCCCCCAGAGAAGTCTTTGTTACCAACTTCTTAAATTTAAGGAATTTCGGGAAAATGTTCTGGATATTCCTTGTATGTCTTTTAATTACGGATTTGAAAGGAGTTCTATACACCTGGCTTGGGAACGGATTATACAGTGGCCACGGCACTCAGCAAGTGCCCTAATGTAGGCCAGTCATAGTGCTTGCTCTGGGACTCTGGCAGAGCCTCCTTGTTGGTCTCTCTGCTTGAGTCTTGAAGTGTCTAGTTCACCGTGACACTATTGGGATTATTACTAATTTCAGAATTTTCTAAAGATTTCTATTGCCTATAGGATATGCTATATGAAGCTCTTCCCCCCGCCCCCTTTGTTAGCCTATTCAACTACATTTCTTTTGCATTTTTCTATGACACCTAATTGAAATTCACTGTTTAAAGGTTTTTCTTAAAAGCGCATCAGGAGTAGGAACGTCTCTCATTCAGTGTCATTATTATCCAATGTAGACCCAAAATATAGTCTCAGTAATTCTTATACCAATTTCAGTAACCCTCACACTTTAAGCTGTAAAAATAACACGTTTCTTATAGCTCATGGATATAGGCCTTATTTTATGTTTATTTTTCACACAATCCTTTACTTCTCTCCTCCGCTTGCCAAAATACAACTAGTTCTCCAAATCTTGCCTCTAGGATTACCTCTGGGAGACTGTTTCCTAGAAGCAGAGTTCTTGGTGCTGTTTGCCTCAAGCCTTATTGTGCATGCCCTTGTTTTGTTGACCATAATTGTGGTTGTTTGCCTTTAGTTTTAAGAGCAGGGACTTTAAAAACAATTAACTTTATTGTCAAACCCATTGCTCTTCAATTTTTGATTCCTAACAATCTTCAGGACAGAGTAGAACTGCTTTGTAGGATTTCTGAGCCTGGAAATTTTTACAGAAGCAAACTACTTTATCTTTCATCTGTAGAGCACCTGGTGAGTTTAACTACCAAACTTTTGATTAACAGCCCCAGCACTTAACCCAGTGTGCCACCAGTGCTCTTGAATATTTGTTGAACAAATTAATGCAGGAATAATAGAAGATAAAAAATACACTATTAGTATTACTGAGACACTAGTCTTAAAGGATTCAAAATTGTAAACAGAATCAAATATAAGAGATTATCAATGCATACAGTGAAATGAAAATTGAGAGACCAACTCTTCATTTGCATGGCATTCCAGTTGATCTCTCTTACTCACCAAAAATGTTATTTTTAGAGAAAAAGAAAATTCTAACAAAGGAGTTAGGAACAGAGGGATTGTTGGCTAGTATCTTTGCTCCTTCCTGTCCCAGTCACCTATATTGTTGTTCTGGGAGGGGGCAATCACAACACTTTGGAGTGTTGCTGTCAGGTTGGAAGTATCTTGAGGGTGCACAGTCTTTGACGATCCATTGTATAACACATGTCTACTTCTATTTCACTTGCTGTTACAACACATTACTTTGGCTAACTTAGCCTAGATTTTATCATTTCTTTTAGAGTTCAGTACTGTCAATAAATCCAGGAACTAAATGATTCACCTTGAGAAAATAATTTTGTTTTCATTGCAATATGTCCATCATTTGACCTCCCATTACCTCACTTAATATGATAGTAGTTTACAGTGGACCTTGAGTATCCCAGAATTTTAGGTCAGAGAGAGCTTTGAGATATCACTGTTTAATAATATCTGAAGTTAGTGGGCATACAATTTTGTCCTGAAATATTTGAACATTTGCATTGAAATGGTGTTGGTAGTAGGATTGTGTTTCTTATTTTGAAATGAAGGGTTACAAACTCCCTCACACTACATTTGAACTATGATGGTGATGAAGAATTTTGAAAGTACCATGGACTGCTATAAAAACAAATAGATCTGTTTTGGAGGGACAGCTAGACTGCCCTTTAGAGGCAAGGATGGCAAGACTATCTCACATACATAGGACATGTTATCAGTAGAGACCAGTCCCTGGAGAAGGACATCATACTTGGTAAAGTGGAGATTCAGTGAAAAAGGAAGATGAATTGACAATGGCTGTAACAGTGCTTAAACATAAGAACAATTGTGAGGATGGTACAGGACCAGGTACTATTTTCGTTCTGTTGTACATAGGATGAGAAATGACTTGACGTTAACTAACAACAACAACAGACACCAATCATTTCACTTAGTGCTTGCCTGAAGGGAAGGAGAAGGGGATAGATATGATAAAAACCGACGCTGTTAGTTAATTCTGACTCACAGTCTGAAGAGAGGGTAGAACTGCCCCGTAGTATGCCCAGAGTTGTAATCTGTACAGACCAGACTGCCCATCATACCTTTCTCTTACTGAGTTGCTGGTGAGTTCCAACCAGTAACCTGTTAGTTGATGAATGCTTAACCGGGGCTTCTATAAAACCCACTGCCATCAAGTCCGGTCTGACTCTCAGTGACCTTATGTACAGATTCCAAGGTTGTGAATCTTTAGGAGGGCAGATAGTATTTTCCTCCCTCAAATTAGCTGGTGGGTTTAACACCCCGCCACCTCCCACCACACACACACACACACACACACACACACACACACCCTCCAATCCAGTGAACAAGGCCATATCTTGAGGGCAAACCATATTCAGGTCAGCTTGCTGTAAGGGTCTCCTCAAGATTGTGTACCTCTAATTGCCTCTATCCTTGGTTAAACCTATCAGTCTGGAACTGGAGAGGTACAGCAGTATCTAGGTAGCTACTAATCTGGGAAGGAGGAGGCCGCAAGGCAGAAGATAATACTAAAGTAATACCAGGAGTTTTAGAAAAGAAAGCAAACTAATTTT